ATCCCATTTTTCTGTGGAGAGTCCGGAAGCGTGAAGGTCTGGCGGATGCCTCGTGCGCGACAGTAGGCTCGCAGAAGGCCAGAGGAGAACTCTCCGCCTCTGTCAGAGTGCAGACGCAGAACAGGAAAGTCCGAGCCGAAGCTCTGCCTGAGCTGGAGACGAGCTGCGCGGATCCAGTCGATCAACACCTCAGTGACGTCACCCTTGCTGCGCAAGGGGAAGACGGTGGTGTAACGCGAGTAGTCGTCAACCACCAGCAGGAAGTAGCGCTCGTGACCCTGTCCACGGACGCGGGCTGGGCCCCACACGTCCATGTGAAGCGTCTGCAACGGGGCCCCTGTCGGAGGAAACTCGGAGGAGTGAGGGGCAGCATGCTGCCGCCCCTTGACGCAGGGGACGCAGGCAGGGGCAGGCCCCAGGGGAAGGGGAGGGAGGGACCGGGGAAGACCAGAGATAAGGGCACGGGAGGCCATGCCTTGGAGACGATGCAGGGAGGGGTGACCAAGGCGGTGGTGCCAGAGGAGAGTCTCGTGAGACAGGAGGCGACACGAGCAGGGGGCAGACTCAGGACCAGACCTGGACGCTGCAGCAAACACCTGACCCGACGCAGCTACCTGACCAGACGCAGGGACAGGAGGAGACTCAGTGGTCACTGTGTACAGGCTCGACCCCGGCCGACGTGTAAACGTGGCCAGGTGTCGGCGTGTGCGAGCCTCCGTGCAGTGGGTCACCCGCTGACGCGCAGGAGTGAGCTGGTGAACCCCCGTATCCTGTAGGTCAGCACCACTCACCAAGTTCGTAGAGAAAGAGGGGAGGTAAAGACCAGACAGGGTGCCAGAGGGGGCTGCCGGACACGAGAGGACAGTGGAGAAGTGAGCAAGGACAGGACCCCCAGAGGGGTCTGCCAGAGAGACTGCAAGTGGCCAACCAAGCGGCGTGAGTGTGGTGCGGTCTCAAAAGAAGGAGCGAGAAGCCCCCGAGTCAAGGGTGAAGGTGTGGGAGGCCGAAGCCGACGCGGTACCTGAGAGAGCAGACTCACCAGCACCTGAGGAAGCAGACGCACTGGCACCTAGAGCAACAGCCTCGCTAGCACCTAGAGCAGCAGCCTCACCAGTACCTAGAGCAGCAGTCTCAATGCCCGGGTCAGGCGGAAAACACCGGTAACAGTCACCCTCATCACTAATAGTCACACTATACATGGCAGCAAGATTAGCATCAAAGTCAAGGTCAAAGATAGCTACTCCTGCGCTAGACAGCTCGCCCCAGCTCTCAGTGGCCTCAGGGAACTGGTGACGCCAATCGTCCGTCAAGCGGCCAAAGCAGCGCTGGGTGGAGTGCGCACCCCCGCACTGCTCACCCGCGCGGTCGCCGGTGCGTAGGACGTAGGTGCACGGACCAGTACCCCCACCCCGCTGGCGTGCAGCGTACCACTCACGGAGCTGCTGAGGGGGGGGGGATGTCACGAGTGCGCTGCTGCTGCTGTTGCTGCTGGCGCTGACCACCACCGGAGCCGACCCTCTGCGCAGCGCCACCCCGACCAGCTCCGCCTCCTCCGCCGCCGCCTCCTCCTCCGCCGCCACCTCCGCCACCTCCGCCCCCACCGCCACTGCCGCCTCCGCCTCCGCCTCTACTGCCGCCACCGGCACCTCCACCCCCGCCACCACTCCCACCACCACCTCCGACCCCTCAACTGCCGCCACCGCCACCTCCGCCACCCCCGCCAGCCCCTCCAGCGCCCTTGCCCCCTTTGCCCTTGCCGGTGCAGCGTCTCCCGCTCGGGGCAGACGCAGCGCCGACCGACTCGAGACCAACGAGGTCGGCCGCAGCGACAGAGGCAACAGAGGGCAAAAGGGGGGAGGGGGAACACCCCTCAAAGACGGGGGTGCGAGGGTCACCACGAGAGGCTCCTACAGCGACTATGCTCTTCTCTGCCGCTAGGAGGGCCTTCTCGAGGAGGTCAACAGTGAGAGTCGGGCAAACTGAGAGGAAGTGGTCCCTGACTACGCGGAGAGAGTCAGGGAGCCGGGTGACTGTGTAGTAGAGGGTGATGTACATGGGGGGGGGGGGGGGGGTTCTTGGCGCAGAACTCAGCAGGAAGCGCAGCGCGGTAGCGAGTGTCACTAGTGCGGAGGTGCGTAATGAGGTCCGTGACTGTGGGAAAGGCAGCAAGGTCAGGGAAGAGGTACGGTAGCATGAGGCGGCTCAGTGCAGCAGTGGCAGGGGAGGAGTAGCGTGCAACTACAGCGTCGTACAAGGTCTGAGCACTCTTGTCCTGGTTAAAGTGCGCACGCTCAGAGGTAGGCAGGTGGCGACGCACAGCAAGACGTGCAGCAGCATCGCGTGTGGCCCACTGTGAGCGAACAGTGGCGTCAGCATTAGCAGCAGGGGCAGGAGAGGCACCAGAAGTGAGGTCAAAGAGGGAGAGACCGTCTGCCCTATCGCACTGTAGGAAAAGCTGCAGGTCATCTACCCAGACGTCAAAGTCAATGGCCCGACCCTCAGCGTCAAAAGCGAGGACACTAGGGGTAGTTATGACAGCAGTTGACTAGTAGCGCGAACAGTAGGGTAAGGGCAGTGCAGTGATAGAGGCGCTGCTCTTACCGGATAGGGCGGCTCGGGGGGCTCGGCGGCTCGGCAGGAAATGCAGCTCGGCGACTCGGCGGCTCTGGCGGCTCGGGCGACTCGGCGGTACGGCGGCTCGGCAGCAACTGCGGCTCGGTGCTCGGCGGCTCTGGCGGCTCGGCGGTATGGCGGCTCGGCAGCTCGGCGACCCGGCGGCCTGGGTGGCTCAGGTGGCGCGGCGGCTCGGGCGGCTGAGGTGGCTCGGGCGGCTCGGCAGTAGCTCGGCGGCGCCGGCGGCTCGGTGGTGACGGCGGGGCCGCGTGGGAACGGCGGCGGGGCCGGTAGAGGCGGCGCCGGGGCCGGGAAGGGTAGCGCCGGGGCCGCAGGGTAGGCGACGGGGCCAGCAGGGTAGACGACGGGGCCAGCAGAGGCGGCGCCGGGGCCAGCAGAGGCGGCGCCGGGGCCGGGAAGGGCGGCGCCGGGGCCGGGAAGGGCGGCGCCGGGGCCGGGAAGGGCGGTGCCGGGGCCGCAGGGGTAGGCGACGGGGCCGCTAGGGCGGCTAGGAGGGGGGTCGCGAGGGCGGCTTGAAGAGGCCGCGAGGGCGGCACGAAAGGGCCGCGAGGGCGGCGCGACGCGACGGAGCCGCGAGGGCGGCGGATCGGGGCCGCGAGGGCGGCGCGACGCGGCCGCTAGGGCGGTGCGACGTGACGGGGCCGCGAGGGCGACGCGACGGGGCCGCAAGCTCGACGCGACGGGGCCGCTAAGGCGGCGCGACAGGGTCGAAAGAAGGGAGCGCGACTCGGGCAGAGTAGAGTGCGCTCCGGGCAGGAAAAAAAGGTGGTGGGCCCTAGGAACAGTTCCCACAGGGGAACCTGCTCGATACCATGAGAAAATGAACGAGAATTAATTGACTAAGGGAAAGTTGGGTACAAGTACAAACCCTAGAAATTCGTACCCCATATGTGCTACCCCACTATAGCCTACAACAGCTATGTCATATAAATCTGACAGATGCGCTTATAATCGACAATTTCTTTAAGCGCTGGCACTTATATAATGACATGAACCTGTCTATTCTACACCCAACTTTACATCTCGTCATTGTGAGTTGAATCGAGTCGAAACTATACAGGCCAGTGAATGAGAATCTCGCGAAAGTTGGCAGGGAATGATTCCCTGCTAACACAAACAGTAAGAATGAGTGAGTTCGCGCCCCAGACAGCTCAGCCTGACTAGACACGCTGGTAGTGAGCCGAGTGAGGGTCAAGGGTTTGAAATTCAAGGGTCAATAGATGCAAAACAGGGCCCGAAATTGGTTTTGAGCCACTCTTGCAAATCAGGCTTCCAGGCCCCTAGTACCCTGACCCCTAGGGTAATATTTTCTGCACATTGGTGGCAGCAACCTAAAATCTCAGATTCATTGTTTGTGTCAGGGTAACTCTGTTGATACACTGTTTGTAGTGCAAAAACCATAGAGGGTTATAATTATTGATTGCACCATGGTGGCGTATCTCAGCTTGTTAGGGCGTGTAACTTTTTCACATTTCATCGTCCGGACGGAGGCCCCGTCCGGATATTTGTAGGGTAACTAATTTCGCAGACGCCAGACTTCGCTAGACGCCCTGCGAAGTCGCCACCGTCCGGACCATGTCAGACACTTTTCTGTCAAAAATTGGTCCGGACTACAGTACCTTGCTGACACCGTCTGAACGGCATATCGAACCGTCCGATTTTTATGCGCTGTCATTGGCGCACGATGTGTTGAAAAAATCACCCAATACAACGCCGCTGATTTTTGGAGGCGAGCCCCTCACGACGCTTTACGATTGCAGTAACGTCTGTTACATGTTTTAACGAAATTCCGAAAATTTTGGATTTCCAAAAAATTGCACATATGTGGTCCGGACCTGAGTCCCAAACGTCCAGACAGAGCTGTGTTCGGACGTTTTGGGGGCTCCGTCCGAACATTTGACGAAAACGGATTATGTTACACGCCCTTAGATGTTTGGATAGGTGTCGAGAGAGATCGCGAGTTCGAATCTCGCCAATATGTTTCGTCTGAAGGAAAATCCTCCCTGTGGAGGATTCTGTATCAGTGTAATGTGCAGCGCACCCTGATACGAGCAGGGAAACCAAAATTGTTATCAGTGCACTCAAAACCTTAGCCTCTTTTCACTAGGGTAAAAAAATCCATAGGCTGATTTGGCAAGGGTACTGGGAAAAAGCGGCCTACTGTCAGGGCAAAAGGGGTATTTCACCCTGATAAAATAGGCCCTGTTCCATAGGCTGATTTGGCAAGGGTAACTGTGAAAAAGCGGCCTACCATCTGGGCAAGAAGGGTATTGTAACCCGACAAAATAGGCCCTGGTGAATACACTTGCTTGTTGGAGAAAACATAAAAGCATATTTTTTTTCCGCTAAGCCCATACATCACAGAATCACAGCGTGTGGAAGGCGCGGCGGTCAAAGAGATCAGAAAACTCATTGAAAGCCCGTGTGAGCACATGGGATGCATAGATGTGATGGTGTGACCCCATGGCACGCAGACCCAGCTCCCTCTCCAGCCCTACCGGGTCCTTGAGCACATGCGAGACGACATACATGTGCTCCAGGGCTGGGCCCAGTAGCGGTGAGAGTGCGGAGAGCAGCGCCCACTCTGGTAGCGCAACCACAATGACAGCACGGGCCAGCAGAGGGGCTGCTGCAATGCGGGGTAGCGTAGGCAGCACCAGTGGTCTGTGCGGTGGGTGGTCATGCGAGGGCATGCGGGATGGAGCTGCTGTGGCAGTGGCAGCGGCGGCAGGAGCGGTGGTTGACGGGGGTGGAGAGGGTGAGGTGGAGGAGGAAGGGTCATTGCCGAGGTCGAGATAGAGAGAGGCGAGGGCAGGACAGTTGATGGTGATACTCGTGGCAGCAGGGGTGTGAGGGGACGATGGAGATACACACAGAGTCAGCTTCTGTAACCTGGAGGGAGGAAGGAAGGAGAGGGCATGTAAGGAGACTGTTATAATGAGGAGGGAAGAGAAGCATGGAGTATTGATAGAGCGATAGATTGGGGAGAAAGCATGGTGAAAGGAGCTGAGAATGAAGGCAAGGAAAGCGTGGTGAAAGGGATGGTGGCATAAGGGGGAGTTGGTACTGTGGTGTGCATGTGAGACAGGAGGGCAGCAGTGACCTTGGGCAGGCAACAGTGATAGACGTGGCAGCCACTTCCCACAGCAGCAGCTTCTGTAGACTCGCCCACTCCGGCCCAAATACCACCGCCGACCCACACTCCCCTCCTCCACCGTCCCTCCCTCCCCTGCCGCCCCCGTTCCCCCTAGCTCCATCCCCCCCACCACCACTGCCAAACATCCCGTCGCGCTCCCCACTCACTACCCCCCGGCCCCACAGCCTGCCCGGCCCTGCCCTGATGCTTGCTGCACTGCCAGTGCGTGGGAACTCCCCTCCCGGGGCAGCTCTGGTGGGCAACCCCCAGCACTTGGAGATGTCCACCTCTCTCACCGCCGCACACGCTGCTCCAAAACTGAACGATGGTAGGCATGCTGTGAGCGACGGGGGAGCGCCGGCTGGCGGTTGGGCTGAGGAGGACGGAGTCGGTGGCAAGGAAAAGGGTGCAGGTGCTGCTGAGAAGGTGGAGAAGGTACTGCATCGAGCGGAGGTGGGAAGGGAGGATGAGGGAGGGATGAAGGGAGAGCGCGCGGAGGAGGAAGGGCGGGCAGGGGAGGAGAGGGGGGTGCCGCAAAGCATGGAGAGGTGTGCGGGGGAGAGGCGTGTGTTGGCGTGGAGCATGGGCGTGCAGATGCGGCGGTGGCTGTTGGCCTGTACCCACTTGAAGCGCTGCAGCTGCGGGCAGTCCACTGTGAACGTGTGTGGCTGTGTGCACAAGCAGCATGGACACACAGCACCTCCACCAGTACATGCAGCAGCAATGGCAGCAGAAGCAGCAGGAGCAGCAGTTGCGGTGGCACCAGCAGAAGCAGCAGCAGCAGCAGCGGCAGGTTTACTGTCCTTCACCCCATGCCCACCACCATCCCTGCGCTCCTCCACCTTGCTCTCTCCTCCAACGCTCTCGTCCCAACCGCTCGCCCCCCCACCTTTCCTTCCCTCCCCACCATGCACCCTCCCCCCACCCCCTGCCCCATCTCCCACGCCCCTATCGCCATGCACAAGCAGCAAGCTCCTGAGGGAGGGGCACTGCACTCGCACGTCCCCCAGTCGCCCCACACACAGCACCACCTCAGCATGCTTCAGCAGCGGGCAGAACAGATGAACGTCCACACACACTCGCGCACCCTCATGCTCTCCCCCACCACTGCCCCCACCACTGCCCTCACCAATGCCCCCACGGCCACTTGCATCCCTGCACTCACCATTCCCCAGGCCATGCTCGCACCCACGACCACCACCACCCACTGTCCCCACACCCCCCTCTTCACCTGTCACATCCACACCTCCCCGTACCCCCAACACCACTGCCCCTCCCCCCGTGCCTCTACTCCCAGCTCCTACTCCTTCCCCTTCTCCGTCTCCCCTCCCTTCCCTTGGCCTCTCCCCTCCAATGTGCCTTCCAGAATTGTAGGCAGCACCACCAGCAGCAGCGGCACTGTGGGTGACATGCGTGACGGGGCGAGTGAATTGCTCACCTACGCGCCCATACATGCCTGCTAGCTGACTCGATCGCCCCCACATCAACCCCCCTGCCTCATGCCCCACGCCCACCCCTACCACATCATCCCTCCCAGGTGCTGCTGCCGCTGCTGCTGCTGCTGCTGCTTGTTGCGTTCCCCGTGCACCTGTGTGCTCTGCCTCCTCTGCCCTAACTCCCTGCCATGACACCCCCCTGTCCCTCACTCTCTCCCTCTCATCCCACTCCCACACCCCTCCACTATCCCCACCACCACCCTCCACTCCCTCACCCCGCCTCTCCCCTCCATCCACCACCCGATGCCTTGCCACACCAATCTCATCCACTCGCCTCTGCCCCCACTCTCCCCCGCGCTCTGCACGCCCTGTAGCGTCCCTGCCACCCGTTCCTGCATGTGAGCTCACAGCACTGCTCCCCCCTGTCAGCCCTCCTTCATCCACCCATGCTACTCGCCTCCTCTGCCCTCGGCGAAGACCGGACACCCACGCCACACTTGCTGCTGCCGCCACACTTGCTGCTGCTACCGCACTGCCCGCTTGCCGTTCTGCCACCACTGCCACCGCCCCATCACCCCCTCCCACTGCGCTCCTTTCCAACGCCTCCTCTGCCCCTCTCCCCTCACCTGCCCCTCTCCCCTCACCTGCCCCTCGCCCCTCACCTGTCCCCCTCGTGTCACGTGCTCCTCCCTGCCTGGAATCTAAAAGGCCACCCGAAGCATGCTCACCACTCGCACGCCCTGATCCCACCTGCAAGCCCCCACCCATGCCACCACTCTCCGGCGCCCCCTCCCCCACACCACCCACCCCATCGCCTGCTGCACCACTCTGCACCGCCTCTCCCACCCCGCCTGCCTCCCGCCCTCCCTCGCTCACTCTTCTCCTTTCCTGATTCTCCTCAAGAACCCCCTCCTCTCCGCTCAACCAACGTTCCAACGCCCCATCCTCGCTCACGTCGCGCCCCACCCTCTCCCCTCCAGCCGCGCTCTCCCCACGCACCACACTCACCACCCTGTCTTCTCTCTCCCCACGCACCACACTCACCACCCTGTCTTCTCTCTCCCTAAACGACCGCTCTCCCACGCTCTCCCTCACGAGCGCCCTACCCAGCGGAGCATCAGGCACGCGCCCATGCCTAATGGTGCGCGAACGGGCCATCCCCACCGCCACACCAGGCCACAGCGCTGCCGAAGCAAACCGCACACCACCACCCCCCCCTGCAGAAACACCCAGGCCTAGCCCGGTGCGCGGTGGGAAGCAGGAGGAAGGGGGGGCGATGGGCGAGGGCGGTGGCACGGGGTGGCCTGAATGTGCTCCGAAGGCAGAGTCGAGGAGGGTGAGGGAGAGGTGCTCCAGGCGCTCAAACGCCGCCCCCACGTGGACGGCAGCGCACACGCAGCGCGGCAGGGCGGGGTCATGGGAAGCGTGGGGGCCAGGACGGGTTGTGGTGGGTGGGGAGGTGGGAAAATCAGGGGGAATGGTGGGTGAAGAGAGTGATACAGGACGCGTTGGCTGGGAAGATGGGGTGATGCGAGGAGACGAGCCACGCGTGCGCCTGTCCACGTGCTCTGCAGCACCATGCAAGTCAATGTTCTCGCCACGTGGACCAATATCCTCCACTTTCCCGCCCTCCTCCTCACCACTGCGCACACCAGCCGTGCCTCCTGTCACCTGCCTCCCCTCCCCACTACCGTCAACTGTGTCAACGCCCCTTGGACCATCAGACCCGCCCTCTTTTGCCACCCCTGTTGCTGTCTTCCCTCGCCTGCTCCTCTGCTCAACTGTCTCACCGAACGGCCCCTCACGAGCCCCATGACTCTCTCTCGGCCTCTTCCCCCACCGCCCCGCACCAGCACATGCCTCGCTCAACAACGGCTCACACACACCTGCTGCGCCGCCATCAACCCTCTCTATACCCACGTCCGTCACACCTCCACCGCTGCTCCTGTTACTGCCGCCGACAACCTGCCCGGCTGCACTGGCCCCTAGCACACGCCAGTCAACCAGGGGACCCACAGCCCGGAGGACTCTGAGCTTGGGGCAGGCAGCAGCAATGGAGCGGAGGGCAGGCAGGGGGAGGACGCCGAGGTCAAGAAGATCCAATGCAGGACACTCGATGCGGCAGTAGCTCACACGCCTGCTGCTCTGCTTCTCACGTGCAGGCATGTCTGGGTGCGCCCAGGTGCTGCTGCCGCCAGCAGCAGCCGCAGCATGAGTGGATTGCGCATTGACGAATGGGAATGAGGGAGACTCCATGCCACAGGCAACACCCGAGGGGGAGAATGGTTGCAGCAGCACCTCATGCCTGTTACTGCTGTTACTGGTGCTGCTGTCAGGTGCGGACCCGCACACGAGGGTGACGAGGCGGGGGCAGCACACATCCACCACGGAGATGGGCGGCAGCGGGCGGTCCTGCAGGCTGGCGAGCGCATGTGCCACCTTGAGCGTGCGCAGGGCCTTGAACTCCCGCCCCACGCGCAGCACCCCCCCGGCTACATAGTCCACACTCAGCTGCTCCAGCCGCGGACACGTGCCTCCCAGGCTGGCGAGGTCTGCCACGACAAACGGCAGCTCGAGTTTCACTATCTCTGGGCAGCGCAGGGCGAATCTCACCGGCTGGTCCCACTCGGCTGGGCGCGCGCGGAAGTTGAGTTGCGTGAGGCAGGGAGCAGTGGCCTCTACCAGGCACGGCGCGGACCACGTGCAGTAGACCGTGAGGGAGGTGAGCCGCGCGCAGTGCACCTGCAGTGTGCGGCACACGCCGAGACCGGATATGGACGCTCGCTCCAGCTGTGCAAACTCCTCCCCTAGCACCACGTGGTGGGCTTTCGGGCAGCACACCTCCAGGCTGCGCAGGCTTGGGCACCCGCGCCCGATGCTGTCGAGAGGCCCAGGGTCGATCCCCCCGAGGGCTAGTGAGCGCAGCGAGGGGCAGTGGAAGCGGCAGAGGACAGCGTCGAGACCAAAGCTGAGCACGCGGAAATCGTGCAGCAGAGGGCAGTCTACCGAGAGCTTGTCTGTGTGTGATACCCCCAGGGCGACTGTCGCCTGGTGCAGGCGCGGGCACGCGAGTGAGATCTCCCGTGCACCGTAATTCTCCCCAAGCCCCCCCAGGAAGAGCTCCCGCAGGTGCTCCCAGGCCGCGCCTAAGTGGACCATGGCGGGCGGGTGGCGCACTCGTAGAATGCGGAGGAGAGGGGATGAGGCCGCGAGGGCGTGCAGGGAGGGCGCGGAGATGAGAAAGTCGATGTCTAGGTCTGTGAGGAGCGGGCAGGCGAGGGTGAGGGTGCGGGAGGGCGGCAGGGAGAAGGCGTGCACGTCCCCGCGGTAGAGCTTGATGCGGCGCACGCGGGGGAGGGTGAGCGCCATGGTGAGCGGCAGGCGGAAGCTCTCCAGCTCCACCTCCTGTAGCTGTGACCTGCGCATGCGAGGGGACACGGGGGAGTCGGGGTGAGGTGAGGTCGGAAAGGGAATCTGCCATCCATGCACACAGACACAATGAGCACATGAATCACGGGAAGTGTAGGAGCAAAAATATGCCGAGCATAAAGCACCACAACCACTTTCCTATCCCATGCATCCCATCCTATCCCATTCCACGCCACGCCAGCTGGCCACCCAAGGCACGTACTCAGCAGGGGCGAGCACCTCAGTGGCGCCACCATGGTCAGCCAGGGATCCGTCATCCCCCGGCAGCGCATTCAGCTGTGTGGCCATGCGCAGGTGCGTGAGCTTGGGGAACACACGCACACAGCGCTCCAGCACGCGCACCACCGTGCCCAGCTCAAACACCAGCGTCACATCCAGCCGCTGCAGCTGCGCATGCCCACCTGCCAGCCCTGCGGCTAGAAGGCCTGGAAGGCGCAGGGATTGCAGGCAGGGGCAGCGCGCGAGTAGACGCTCCACTGCGCTGGTCATGATGCCTGCGCCGTATAGGACTGACGTGGGACCCCGCTCCACCAGCCGCACACGCACGTCACCCCCTGCTGCTGCTGCTGCTGCTGCTGCTGCTGCTGCTGCGGTTGCGGCTGCGGCTGCGACTGGGGCGTCTATGTCGTCTTCTGCAGAGGCAGCAGCAGCGGCAGCAGCCACGACTGCTGCTGCCATGGCATCACGTGCTTCTTCCTCTCCCTCGTGCTCCGGCTGCTGCTCCCCTGCTCCATTCCCATCCTCCCACTCCACCTCTTGTGCTTCGGTCAACCTTTCCCCCTCGCCTGTCCTCGCTTCGCTCGCGTCCCTGTCCTCTTCCCCTCTTGCCTGCCCTTCTTGTGACCTTGCCTCATCCCTCTCACCCTCCTCCCTCTCATCAACCGCTCCTTGCGCCTCTGCTGCTCCATCTCTCATCTCATCATGGCCGTCCGCAGCAGTGGGGTTGGCAACAGGGCCTGCAGGAGCAGGGGCAGCAACGGGGGCAGCAGCCTGGGCAGCAACGGGGGCAGCAGCGGGGTTGGCAGAAGGGAGAGACACAGGAGCGGCAGTGTCGCCCTCATGTGCACTCCCCCTCCCAACCACACACGGCCTCTCACCCTCCCCACGTCCCCCTCGCCCCTCTAGCCCCTCACTTTCCTCCCATGCCCTCTCCACACCACCACCTCCCACGCCTGAACCAACAACAGGCGCACTAACAGTAGGAGAGAGTTCTGATGCAGGCCTGGCAGGCAGGGGATGCGGCAGCACCAGGTGGGCGCCCTGCACGTGCTGCAAGGAACCCTCGCCTTGCTCACCCACTTGCGCACCCTGCGTGTTCTCTCTGTCCGCCCCCACCACTCCCTCACTGTCCCCTCCGCTCCACCATCCACCCTGCACCCCTTCTGCCTCCCCTTCACCCTCCTGTGCTGCCGCGGCAGCGGCTGCAGCAATGGCAGGGCGGTCAGCACTGGTGTGTGCATGCAGGTGCCCTCGCACCACTGCCCTCACCACGTCCTGTAGCCGCACCCCCACCGCACTCACCCCTTCCTCACCATCCTCCCCACTCTCTCTTCTCTCACTCCCCCTTCCCTCCCTCCCACTCTCAAACTCACACTTAAGCTCGCCTTCTCGCTCGGTCTGCTCACTCCTCCTCCCTCCCTCCCAGCCCACTCCCAGACCGCACCCTACTCGACCGCTTCCCACCCCCCCTTCCCCTGCTCCTACATTCGCAAGACCAGTGTACCCCTCGCCCTGCCCCCCCTGCTTCCCCTGCCCCCCCTGCTCCCCCTGCCCCCCCTGCTCCCCCTGCACCCCCTGCCCCCCCTGCTCCCCCTGCGACCCATGGCCCCCCTGCTCCCCTTGCTCCCCCTGTTCCCCCTGATCCTCCTGCTCCGCCTGCTGTCCCCGCTCCTGACACCTCGCCATAGCTGCGCCCTCCAACCCTGCATGCGCCCTCTCTCCTTGCACCCTTGGCTGCTGCATCGCACCATCCGCCCCATCCGCTTCTCCCTCCCCATCCCCATCGCCAAGTGACCCCGGACTAGAAGGGGCCGAGATACCCTCCTCTTCGTCCCGCCCCCGCCCTGCCTCATCATCCCCCTCAGCATCCTCATCCGCACCCAACCCCTCCCCTTCCACCCTCTCACTCTCCTGCTCCAACGCCACCCCGCCTTCCTCCCTCTCATCGCCCTCCCCACCCTCCCTACCACTCAAACCAGAGTCCCCACCATCATCACAATTACCAACACCAAAAGCACCATCCCCATCCCCATCCCCATCCCCATCCCCATCCCCATCCCCATCCCCATCCCCACCCATATCCCCATCACCATCTCCATTCCCAACCCCACCCCCCTCCCCATCCCCATCATCCTCATCATCATCATCCCACAACCGTGCAGGACCCGCCCTCACCTCTTCCTCCTCCTCCCCAACCACCAAACCCGCTCTCCCTCTCATAACCCATCCCCCTCCCCACCCCCCCACTCTCCCCCCATCCGCATCCGCCTCCCCCGCATTCCCCCATCCCCTGCCCCTCACCCTTATCCCCAAGCCTCCAATCCCCCCTCCCCCACCTGGAAGCGTGGCTCCCAGCAGCAGCGCGCGGGCGTGCGCACCTCTGAACCCCGCAAGCAGCTCCTCCTTATGCAGGCAGCTCCACGTCACATGCAGGGTGCGCAGGCGCGGGCACGACCCCGGCAGCGCTTGCAACACAGCCATGGTAGAGAGGCTGTGGCGCCGCACGTGCACGACGCCCAGTGTGAGCGACGTGAGGGACGGGCTGAGGAACATGCCCACGCTCTTCACCTGCCGGCAGGGTAGGTTGGTCCACGACAGCTCCGTGCCCCCCCACTCGTACGCGCCTCTGGCTGCTCCTTCCTGGGCCCCTCCCTGCTCTGTTGGTTCCCTGCGTGCCTGTGAGGGGGATGAGGGAGCTGCTGCTGCTCCTGCTCCCTCTGCTGCTCCTGCCGCTCCTGCTGCTGCTCCTGCTCCCTCTGCTGCTCCTGCTCCCTCTGCTGCTCCTGCTCCCTCTGCTGCTGCTCCTGCTCCCTCTGCTGCTGCTCCTGCTCCCTCTGCTGCTGCTCCTGCTCCCTCTGCTGCTGCTCCTGCTCCCTCTGCTGCTCCTGCTCCCTCTGCTGCTCCTGCTCCCTCTGCTGCTGCTCCTGCTCCCTCTGCTGCTGCTCCTGCTCCCTCTGCTGCTCCTGCCGCTCCTGCTGCTGCTGAGTCAGCCCCATTACTTCTCACCGCGCGTTCCTCACCCGCCACTCCGCCTCGCAAATTCCCAGAGCCTCCCCCCACACTCACACCCTCTCTGCCAGCAGCACCGCCACTGCCAAATCTGCTACCACTACTGCTGCTATGCACACGGGCACCACTAGTCCCACCAGCAGTACTAGCAGCGGCAACACCAGCAGCGGTACCAGCAGCAGCGGAGGAGCGTGGGAAGCCGTGAGCGCGCATGGCGATGATGTCAGCAGCAGCATCACGCTCGTTGTCAGGGCTCACCAGGCGCACCACACTCGCCGTGCCCAGGATGCCCGGCAGCACTCGCAGCAGCCGCGCCACCTCTATCACTCTGTCGCCCGCGTTGTCTATCACAGGCACCTGCACGCACACAGGGGGAGGGGGGTGAGGGGGGTGAGGGGGGTGATGGGGAAGACGGTAAGACGGGGAGAGGGGGAGAGGGAGGGGAAGATGGAGGGGGAAGAGGGGGAGAGGTAGAGAGGTGGAGAGGGGGAAGATCGGAGAGAGGCGGTTAAGCAGCGCATGCAGGGGCACAACACACCAGGATTATGGAACAATGACCAACAGCGAGCAGCGAGCAGCGAGAGCAGAGAAGCAAGCGCGAGGGCACGAGCGGTGCATGTGTGTTAAGGCACACGCGTGGTGGCGCCGCGCACACGCAGCCCGCCCACCCGCGCGCGCACCTGGTGGCAGAGGCGCTTGAAGCGGCGGCACGTGAGAGCGGCGCGCGTGAGGTCCAGCGCGCCGAGGCGCGACAGCACGTCCACCAGCTGGCGGCCCGCGGGGAAGGGTGGGGGGAAGAGAGGGGGAAACGGGGGGCGCGCGGGGGGTGGGGGGCGGTGAGGAGGGCGGAACGAACGAACACGGGCGAGTTGGGCGAGTGGGAACGGCGGGCATCGGGGGGCGTGGGCGGACATGCGCAGCGGCGCATGCATGCGTGCTTCGTTCCAAGTCGACCGGCGCGCACAACTGCTGCGAACGACTCTTACGCCAAGCGAACACAACTAAGGTAGGGAGGGCGACTAGGGAGGGCGATTAGGGAGGGCGACTAAGGAGGACGAGTGCATGCGACGGCTACGGCACCACCCCGTGCGCACTCGCGGGTGCATCTGCATCCCCGCGACCCCAGTGCCGAGCCTTGCCTGCACATCCGCCAGGCGGTCGCAGTGGTTGCGCCCATCGCCGGCCCCCCACCGCATGCGCACCGCCCGACACAACCGACGCCACAGCGCGCCCGCGTTCTCCTCCTCCTCTTCCTCCTCCCCGCCCTCCCTTTCTTCTTCCTCGTCCCCCTCCTCGTCCCCCTCCTCGTCCCCCTCATCGTCCCCCTCATCCTCCTCCTCATCATCCTCCTCATCCTTCTCCCCCTCCTCGTCCCCCTCTCCGTCCTCCTCCCGCTCCCCTTCCCCCTCATCCTCCACCTCCTGCTGCTGTCGCTCCTCGTCCGTCATCCGCACAACGTCCACGGAGCTGCTCGCGGCACCCATCGCGATATCCGCCTAACCGCTCTCCACCCAACGCCCAAGAACGTTCCTGTGGGATCGGATCGGCGCGCAACCACCTACCGCGATTCAACAGCCGCTCGCGCGGCGAAGGCTAATGAGCGAGCACGGAGGGATGTGGCGCAAAAGGCGGCGCGCCTCATGGGGGAGGGAGTGTGGTAATGGCGTCGCGCAGAGGAGTTACACATGTGTTCCCTGTCCAGTCGAGTGAGGTCAGTCGCTCCCTGAAACGAGGGTTTCCTAACTGCGGCATGTGTTCCCCTACAGGGGTATTCAAACTTACAACGTGGAGTATCCAAATTTCCAATAGAACTGGACTTTGATTACGGTTGAAATCGGTTAAGTGTAGCCCGAAGTTGCCCTAAGTTGCCCGAAGTTGCCCTAAGTTGCCCGAAGTTGCCCTAAGTTGCCCGAAGTTGCCATAAGTTGCCCTAAGTTGCCCTAAGGTGCCCGAAGTTGCCCTAAGTTGCCCGAAGTTGCCCTAAGTTGCCCTAAGTTGCCCTAAGTTGCCCTATTTTTTAGGATGATCCACTCATTTATCAATCCATTGTTGGAATAACCATAAGTTTATACTAGCATTCTCTAAGGTATCACTATAGCACACTATCTCATACACAGAATGTGCACCAGCTACTATCTCTCTGATTAGTCTGAGGAATCACACTGTCTCGGCACTGGAAAATGTTTTTTTTTTATTATTACTTGTTTTCTTATCCCTGGTTGAGTCAAAGTGATTGTTTTAAGGCCCCTGATTACTTCTAATGTGCTTCAAACTTAACCGATTTCGAAGCCTAACACTACAGAGTCACAAGACTAGTCAAGCAAGAGAACAAGCAAAGCACAGGGTGGATCTCAAGGACACCACACAGTCTGAGCGCAAGCAAGCGGCCACAAGGCCAGTTCACATCCAGGGTTATAAGAACAAGGCAGTACACTGATTACAACCTAACAAGAGGAAACATGCAGGTATAAAGATATATATCAGTGTACAACAAGAGCAAGTCAAGCAACCAGCAGGTGACGCGGAGTGGGCACAAGCCCAAAAGCAGTGCAGAAACGCTGATGATCACTAGACCCAACGGCCTTAGTGAAGACATCAGCAGTGTTGGCCCGAGAGGCCACGTAGGAAAGACGAAGCTAACCACGCTGCTGAAGCTCACGCGCAAGGAAGTAGCGAAGAGCAATGTGTTTCGTTCTGTGCTCCAGTCTCTGCTCGCGATATAAGGCAAGCATTGCCTTGTTGTCGATGTACAGAACTGGAGGAGAACAAGGCCGCTCCCCCAAGTCGGTCAGCAGGTAGGTTAGCCAGTGTAGCTCCTGTGCAACCATGGCCCCAGCGTAGATCTCGGCCTCACAGCTGGAACCAAGCACAGAAGAAGAACGAGTGGACCTCCACGAGACAGAACCAGAGCCAAGACTGAAGGTGTAACCCTGTGACGAACGCTGAGTCGCCTGGTCGTCGGCCCAAGAAGCGTCGGAGTGTCCTGTGAGTACCACTGAACCCCGTCCTCGAAGCAAAAGCCCCATGCCCGATGTACTGCACAAGTAACGCAATACCCTCTTCGCAGCATCCCAGTGCACCTTCCGGTGTCTAACAGGAGCCACGTAGCGAGCCAAGAGGCTGAGAGGGTACGCGAGGTCAGGTCGTGTGCACGTTCTCAGGTACATGAGGCAATCCACAAGCTCTGGGTACGGACCACTCGGCTCTACGGACTCGTCCGAAGGTTGAGCTGAGAGTGAGTGGCCGGTATACAGAGGAGTGGGCTACGGCGAGGAGAACTAAAAGACGAAGCGATGAAGGACCTGGTGCACCGTGTGTAACTGAGTCAGGGTGATGGTGCGTCGTGCTCTGTCCCGAGTGATCTGCAAGCCAAGATAGCTCCGCAGCTCACCTAGGTCAGTGCAGGTGTGTCTCTCCTACAGCTCCGCTTTCACTAGGGCCAGCGCCTCCGTGTCAGCAGTAGCAAAAACCAAGTCGTCGACGTACACGAGAACGTAGAAAGGTGGCAGGGTAGTGTCGGTGCGAGAAACAGTGACGGGTCAGCAGTCGAAGGAGCAAACCCAAGAGACGCAAGTGTCGTCCTCAGTCTGTCGTGCCAGTCGCGAGGTGCCTGACGCAGGCCGTACACTGGCCGCCGTAGGCTCTACTGGGTACCCTCAGGAAACGACCCAGTAAAGCCACATGGACGGCGCAGCCAGGTGGCCTCGTGAAGGATACCTTGCAAGAAAGCTTTTGAGAAGTCGAGAGAGTGCAGCTCGTAGTCACGTAGAGCTGAAACGTGTAGCAACACCCAAAGAGTGGTCATCTTCGGGGTGGGGGAGAAGGTCTGAAAGAAGTCGACTCCCTCACACTGATTGAAGCCTCAAGCAACGTAACGTGCCTTGAAGGCAGGCGGAGAACTCGGCTGCCGCTTCACCCTGAAAATCCACATGCAACTGATAATGTTTGCCAAGGTGGGGGAACCTCATCGACGTAGGTGCCTGTGGACTTCCACGAAGCTATTTCTGCGTCCATGGCTGCCTGCCACTAAGAGGAGTACTCACCCGAGATCGCCTCTCTGTAAGAGCGCGGGGTGGGGATGTCAAGTGCATCCGGGTCTCCCTCAGGGGCAAGCAGCATGGTAGCGAGATGAGGTGCAGTGGCAGCAAAGGCACTCCAGCTCCTCTTGTCTGTCCTCAAGAACGTCACAGCCAAGGGCAACCTCACCCCCGACGGACGGAGGACAGGCAGGGTCAGGGTCGGAAACAAGATTCACAAGGTAGGCAAGACGGCGGACAGCAGCAAAGTCGACTAGTCAGTGACTAGGGCAAACGCAGCAGTAGGCTCAAAGTCAGGGTCAGTCACGACAGTCGCGAGGAGACGAGTGACAGAAGAACTGGCTGTACGAGCAAGGTCGGACGCAGGGTCAGGAACGTGCGGAAGAGAGGATGCGGGAGGCTCAGGCAGGACAACATGCTGTGGAACACAGGAAGGACGAAGTGCCATACCGTGAGTGCGTGGGACACTCGAAGGACGAGGACGACGAACACGAGGAACATGAGCACGGACAGAAGCTCTAGTCCCAGGCTCTCGACGCTCAGGAGTGGAAGCACGAGTCTCAGGCTCTCGACGCTCTGTCAGGGACTCTGGCACAGCGGTGTAAGGAGCAAGAGAAGGCAGTGGGGAGTGAGGGAGTAACTGTGGCTGAGACAAGTCTGCTGGTGGGAATAGTACGGGCTGAGAAATACCAGCGACAGGGAACTCAGTAGGAGCTGGCGGAAGACCGAGAAGGTGGTGAAGCGCACTAGCAGGCCCAGCACCTCGAGAACCAGTAGCAACTCCAGCATCGCCAGCACCAGCAGCACCTCCAAGACTAGCAGCTCCAGCACCTCCAGCACTAGCAGCACCTCCAGCATGAGCAGCTCTAGCACCTCCAGCAGTACCTCCAATACCAGCAGCACCTCCAGCACTAGCAGCTCCAGCACCTCCAGTACCAGCAGCACCTCCAGCACTAGCAGCTCCAGCACCTCCAGCAGTACCTCTTGTACCTCCAGCACCAGTAGCACCTCCACTACTAGTAGCTCCCGCACCTCCAGCAACAGCAGCTCCAGCACCTCTAGCAGTACCTCCAGTACCTCCACCACCAGCAGCACCTCTAGTACTAGCAGCTCCAGCACCTCCAGCACCAGCGGTACCTCCAGTGCCTCCAGTACCAGCAGCACCTCTAGTGCCTCTAGCACCAGCAGCACCTCCAGCACTAGCAGCTCAGCAGCTCCAGCATAAGCAGCTCATCTAGGAGTACCTCCAACACCAGCAAGACCGAGCCCGCCACCACTAGGATTGCTACGCCAAACGATCCACGTACGAACCTGCTGTGGTGAGAGCGTCTCAAGTAGATCAGGCTGCGGTGGCTGTCCAGCTCCAGGACCTCTAGCAGGGTCACCCACAGCTCCACCGTCACTAGGACCCGCAGCACCCCCAAAGTCAGCACCCCTAGAACCAGCACCCCCAATTGGAACACCCCCAGAACCCTCACCCTATGTCTCAACACCCCCAGGCTTAGCACCAGCAGTCTTAGCTCCAGAATCCACAACAGTAGGCTGCTGAGGCGGCGAAGACGGCCGAGGTGGAAAGCCCGGGGGGGTCGCCAAGCGTGGAGAATAGCGAGGGGCCGTCGTGTCGTCCGCGGCGAGGTCACCCCCCTCAGCTGGGCCAGGGGATTCAGAAGAGATCTCCAGAGGCTCATCCAAGGGGGGTGGGTCTACCTGAGACACACCTGAGGGAGTAGGACCCTGCGGGGGAAGTGGGTCTACCCGGGGGGGGGGGGGACTGGTACGAGGAAGAGAGGCGCGAGTGGGACCGGGTAGGACGCATGCGGTTGTAGCCTGTAGTAACAGACAGACTCGTCAAAGGTGGCGTCCTGAGATTGGAAAAGCGGCTGTCAGTAGTTCTGAGATTGGACGCAAAGCGGCGGCAAAAGGAGGAGCAGGGTAGGAAGGCAACGGAGGGAGATCGGCGACAGAAGGAGGATGCGCAGAGGAAGGAGGCTGAGGAGGACGATCGGGAGGAAAGGGAGAAACAACAGGAGAAGGAGCACCAGCAAAATGAGGAGGCGCAGAGGAAGGAGGCAGAGGAAGCAGAGCGGGTGGAGAGGGAGAAACAGCAGGAGATGGCGCGCCTGCAGAAGGATGAGGCGCATCAGAAAGATGCAGAGGAGGCCGAGAGGCAGGAGAGGGAAAAACAGCAGAAGATGGCGCGCCTGCAGAAGGAGGAGAGGCAGAGGAAGGAGGCAGAGGAGGTAGAGCGGCGTCAGAGGGCGAAACAGCAGGAGATGGAGCGTCTGCAAAAGGAGGAGGCGCAGAAGAAGGAGGCAGAGGAGGCCGAGCGGCAGCAGCGGGCGAAACAGCAGGAGATGGAGCGCCTGCAGAAGGAGGAGGCGCAGAAGAAGGAGGCAGAGGAGGCCGAGCGGCGGCAGAGGGCGAAACAGCAGGAGATGGAGCGCCTGCAGAAGGCGGAGCAGTGCCGAGCAGAGAAGAGGGCCAGACTTGCATCCTACGCGGAACAGCAGCGGCAACTGGAGGCAAAGGCAAAGGCGATGGCTGAAGAGACGGAACGATTGGCAAGGGAGATGGAAGAGGAGGATTTGACCATGCAGGGGGAGGGGACCTGGAAGGGAGTCGAGGAGGAAATAGCTGAGGGCCTGGGGAGTTTGCTGTTGATTGAGAGTGGGGAGGCAAATGTAGCAGAGGGCGTGGCTATTGTTCCCGGACAGAACGTAGAGGTGCCCAGGAGGCGGCCTAGACAGGAGGACAGGGAGCCGGAGGGTCATGCGGCTAAGAGACGGCGTGCAGCTGGTATACAGGAGTTGATACCGATAATCCCAGGGGAAAAGGAAGGGATGAAGATCGACAAGTGTGACAACAGGAAAAACGCCGTAGTGGACGACAAGGGTAAGACTTTGGGTGTCTGCCTGCCGTTCAGGGGAAGCGGGTTCTCTCAACGGGGCGAGGGAGCTTTGCAGAAGTGGACGTCTGAGCAGACCGTCGGCGGCCGGAAGCGGAACCTCGGCTCTCACAAAACGGTGTGGGAGAGGGCATACATGGTCGCAGTCTGCTCGAAGTTCTACTTCCCGGATATTGACATGCAGGCATACGGCATGAATCCAAACCGTATTAACAAGTGGCGGGAAGACCTCGACTTCACAACGTGGCTTCTTTGACCCCGAGCACCGTTGGGACATCTCGACAATGACGGTAAAGGAGGCGTTGGCGAGCTGGAAGGGCCCGGCGGTGAAGGCCGCCATGGAGGAGGAGATCCGCAGCCTCATCAACATGGGCACTTGGGAGCTGGTCGAACGCCCGCCGGGAGTGAACATCATGAAGAACCGGTGGGTGTTGACGACGAAGTATCACGTCCACGACACCGTCGAGCGCGAGAAGGCGAGGCTGGTCGTGAAGGGCTTCACCCAGGTGTATGGTGCCGACTACGACGAGACGTTTGCGCCGGTGGGTAGCTACGTCATGCTGAGGATCTTCCTCACCATCGTCGCCGTCCTCAACCTCAACCTGATGCAGCTCGACATGAAGAACGCCTTTTTGCAGAGCAAGCTCGACCGGGTGCTCTACATGTCCCAGCCGGACTACTTCAACGACGGAACTGGCCGGGTGTGCAAGCTGCTGAAGAGCCTGTACGGGCTGAAGCAGTCGCCGCTGCTATGGTACTTGGCGCTCAACGACGTGCTGGTCGACGCCGGGTGGAGGAAGAGCCAGGTCGACGAGGCTCTCTACTTCAAGGTCGGCAACGCCGGAGTGGCCTGCTGGGTGTTGGTCTATGTCGACGACCTGCTCGCCGCCAGCAGCAGCACCGAGATGCTGAAGGAGTTGAAGGAGCTGCTAGAGTCCGCCTTCGAGCTGCGTGAGATCTCGCCGATGCAGAAGTACCTCGAGCTGGAGATTGTCCGTGACAGGTCGGCGAGGAAGCTGTGGCTGCACCAGCAGGGCTATGCCGACAAGCTGCGTAGGCGCTTCATCGACGAGGAGAAGACCGGCCGCACCCCGAAGACGCCGATCTCGATCGACGCCTACGCCGAGCTCACCTTCGACGACGAGGAGGCACAGCGACAGGAGGAGGAGTACCGGCAAAAGGTCGGCTCGCTGCAGTTTGCAGCGACGACGACGAGGCTGGACATCGCCTTTGCCTGCAGCAAGCTGGGGAGCGGCCTCACGGTGAGGAGCGACCAGCACTGGCGCGAGGTCGACCGCTGCCTCGCCTACCTCGCCAACACGCGTGACACCGCCCTGGAGTTCGGCGATGGACCTGAGTCGCTGGAGCTAGTCGGCTACGTGGACGCCGACGACGCCGGTAACAAGCAGAACAGGACGAGCACGGGCGGATACGTGTTTGTCTATAGAGGGGCCGCAGACTCTTGGTCGAGCCAACGCATCAAGTGCGTGACGTTGTCGTCAACCGAGTCGGAGTACGTGGCAGCCACCGAAGCCGGCAAGGAGGGACGCCGACTTTGCTTCCTCCTTGCAGAGTTCCGGCAGCTGGATGCCGGGAAGCCGACCATCCTTCGGGTGGACAACAAGTCGGCCATCACGGTCGCCGAGGGCATGGGGTTGACGGGCAACCTCAAGCACATGGAGCGGCGACAGGCCTGGCTGCAGCACATGGTGAGGCACGGGAAGTTCTCGCTGAGGTACATCCCAACCACCGAGCAGCCGGCCGACTTCCTGACAAAGGCGCTGCACTATCCGGCTTTCAACCGGTGCTCCGTCGCCATCGGCCAGGTGCGCTTGGCCGACGTGGGCGACGAAGGTGACGATGTGCAGTAGTAGGTGGCATGCCCTCTTGCATGGCTGGTGCGGTGGACAACGTGCTGTGTGTTGGGTGCACGACCACGAGCTATTCTCCGAGCAGTGATGCCGTGTGGGCTGGGGGCCCAAGCGTGAACGCGGCAGGGGAGTGTCAACGGGAGTTGTTGTTGGCCCCGTCCTCGCTTGGGCGGAGCCGACTACGTGGTCGGGTGTACGAGAGATACAGCTGACTTGCAGCAGTGGGCGACGCCGACTTGGGCGAGCGGGTCGACGGGGTTGGTCGACTTGCACGGGGCCACTGCAATGCCGCTGACTTGGGAAGCCGGCGGCTGACTTCAACTGGTGGTCGGCGATGTGGCACGTCGACCTGAAAGTCGGCGCCGACTTGGAAGGTCACCGACTTGTAAGGTCACCGACTTGCAAGGTCACCGACTTGCAAGGTCACCGACTTGCAAGGTCGCCGACTTGCAAGGTCACCGACTTGCAAGGTCGCCGACTTGCAAGGTCGCCGACTTGCAAGGTCGCCGACTTGCAAGGTCGTCGACTTGCAACCTCGCCGGCTTGCAACCTCGCCGACTTGCAACGTCGCCGACTTGGGAGGTCGCCGACTTGGTGACGCCGACTTCTGGTAGCCGACTTGGGTGGTCAGCTGACGACTGGGCTGGTCGACGTGGAGCTGGTCGACCAGGAGTGACGTCGACCTGGAGCTGGTCGACCAGGGGTGTGGTCGACCTGGTGAGGTCGAATGGAGGTGGCAGTCGACTTGGGAGGTCGACAGGCACATACAGAAGCACCTGGTCGACGTGGTTGCCTGGTCGACCAGGTTACCTGGGTGACAAGATTCTGCGGAGGAGTGCGACGGTCGCCTAGGCGAAGTTGGCGAGTCCGACCTCGGCGGTGGTATCCCGAGGTCGACATGGTGGATCAGGTGGAGTCATCAGCACGAGGATGACTTGGTGTGTGCACGTGACGAGGCTCAGCCCGCCAATCCTCTGCGAGCACCTGCGAAGCGGGTGCGCTGCTATTCTGCGGGAGCAATACTAGCACGCCGTCAACCTGCGACGTTGGCACGCCGTCGACCTTGCACTGCTGGAGCGCGGTCGACCAAGTCGTACTGGAACGCGGTCGACCATGCTGCGCTGGCAGTCGACCGACCTGAATGCTAGCTCTGATGTAGTCTTGCCATGCCAACTTCGTTGTTCTATTGTTGTCAACCTTTCTTAGGGAAACCCTTGCCAACTTGCCCCGTGAACTAGCAAACAGTGTGTGCACTAGGAAATCGACTAAGGACCAACGAACGCAGAGATCACACGAGCACTCGTGCCTAGCCTGTAGTCTAGCTCCCGTTGTAGTAGTTATCTCCGCACCCCAAGCCCTGCCCTGCGCTGCGCCGTCAGCGTGCGCCCTATCCTGCCCTGCGCTGCGCTGTCAGCGTGCGCCCTGCCCTGCCCTGCCTTGCGTCGCGCTGCACCGTGCACGCCCTGCCCTGCTCCGAGTCGCGCTGCCCCTCGCACACCTTGCCCTGCCCCGTGTCGTGCTGCCCCACGCACGCCCTGCCCTACCCCGCGTCGCGCTGCCTCGCGCACGCCCTGCCCTGCCCCGCGTCGCGCTGCCCCGCGCACGCCCTGCCCTGCCCAGTGCCGCGCTGCCCTGCGCACGCCCTGCCCTTCCTCGCGTCGCGCTGCCCCGCGCACGCCCTGCCCTGCCCCGCGTCGTGCTGCCCCGCGCATGCCCTGCCCTGCCCAGTGTCGCGCTGCCCTGCGCACGCCCTGCCCTACCCCGCGTCGCGCTGCCCCGCGCACGCCCTGCCCTATCTTGCGTCGCTCGCCCCTGCAGCCCGTCGCGTCGCGCGCCCTTGCTGCGCGTCGCGTCGCGCGCCCCTGCTGCTTGCCGCGTCGTGCACCCCTGCAGCCCGTCTCGTCGCGCGCCCCTGCAGCTCGTTGCGTCGCCCGTCGGCCCTGCCCGTTCCTGTCGCGTCTCCAAAGCTGGCTGCCCCAGCCCGCCAAAACGCCAGTCCGCCCTGCCTGCCTGCGCGCCGCTCCTGCCCGCCCCGCGTCGCACCGCCCCGTGCAAGCCACCCGCGCGCAGACCCTTGCAGCACGCGCGCCGCCCGTCTGCAGCCCGTGAGCCTCCCCTACAGCCCGCGAACCGCCCCTGCAGCCAGCGCGCCTTGTGAAGAAATGAGGAACGAATGAACTAGCAAGCAGGTGGGTACAAGTAGGAAAACCTAAAAGTGTTGTACCCCATATTGTCTACCCCACTACAGCCTACACAGACTATAGCATATGAGTTTAACACACCCCCATAGGCAAAGTGGGGGAGAACAAGAGGTCACAAGACCAGTCAAGCAAAGCAAAGCAAGCTCAGGGTGGATCACAACGTCACCACACATTCCGAGCACAAGTTCAAGGCCACAAGGCCAGTTCACATGCAAGATCATATATAAAGGTAAACAAGCAAGTGTAGGTATCGAAAGATCACAGTACAAGCAAGGTCAAGAAGTGAGCAAGTGAGGCCAAGTAGGCACAAGACCTAGCATCGTACAGAAGCGCTAATGATCACAAGGCGGAAGTGCCTTGGTAAAGATATCAGCAGTGTTGGCCTCAGAGGCCACGTAAGCAAGGCGCAGCTAACCACGCTGCTGCAGATCACGAGCAAGGAAGTAGCGAAGAGCAATGTGCTTCGTTCTGTGCTCCAGTCTGTGCTCCCGACACAAGGCCAGCCATGGCCTTGTTGTCTACGTACAGAACTGGAGGAGAACGAGGCGGCTCTCCTAGGTCAGTCAGCAGGTAGGTGAGCCAGCGTAGCTCCTGTGCAGCCATGGCCCCTGCGTAGATCTCAGCCTCACAGTTGGAGCCGAGAACAGAAGACGAGCAGGTAGACCGCCACGAAACAGAGCCGGAACCAAGGCTGAAGGTGTAACCCCGTGACGACCAATACGTAGCCTGGTCGTCAGCCCAAGAAGCGTCTATGTGAACTGTGAGGACCACTGAACATCGCCCTCCAAGCACTAGCCCCATGCCCGATGTACTGCACAAGTAGCGCAACACCCTCTTCGCTGCAGCCATGTGCTCTGGTCGGTGTCTCCCAGGAGCAACATAGCGTGCTAAGATGCTAAGAGGGTATGCAAGGTCAGGTCGTGTGCAGGTCATCAGGTACATGAGGCAGCCAACAAGCTCTGGGTACGGGCCACTCGGCTCTACGGACTCATCCGAAGGCAGAGCTGAGAGCGAGTGACGAGTAGACAGAGGAGTGGCCTGAGGCGAGGAGTACGTGAAGTCGAAGCGCTGAAGGACCTGCTGCACCATGTGTGACTGAGTCAGGGTAATGGTGCGCTATGCTTTGTCCCAGGTGATCTGCAAGCCAAGGTAGCTGCGCAGTTCACCCAGGTCTGTGCACGTGT